GTCCTATGAGCACCTTCAGGGTTTATAGACCCTTAAGGCAATGCCTGGGCCAGCCCACACAGCAGCAACCACCCTGAGCCCTCTGCACTCTGCACCGGCTGCTGAGTCTCTCTGGATGTTTCTGGTCTGCAGCATGGGGCACCTTGCGTATGTCTACTTCTAAACACACAGATACACAGACCTCTCTCACATGAGAAGCTAGATTCTGCCTGCTGAAAGCTAAAATCCCTCCCAGGGGAACAGCTTAGGGCAAGGCCAGGAGGCTGGCCAGCAAACAACGAGACCCCAGGGAACCGGAGAGGGAGCATCAAGTCCGCCCCTCCCCCCCACCATCCACCACTCCCAAAGGCAAATGCCCTTTACGGCCCTGCTGGGCCTGTGATGATTAAGGGACTGCAACCCTTAGAAACAGAGAAACCGAGACAGAAGCACAGCCAAGGTGACAGGTGAGAACCCCGTCAACTGTGTGCCAGGAAGTCCCTACCATCATTCTGCCCCTTTCACTGTTGGTAAAACTGAGGCCGGCCCAAGGTCATAGGTTGGGTTGCTTGTTCCCCAGCTCCCAGCACAGTGCGTTGCTCACCACCTGAGACACTGAGGTCATCAGGCCTCCGTCTTCTGCTCTGTACAGTGTGGAGGGTGACCTCCCACCATCTGATCTGGCCTGGACCTCGGCGGTGGAGAGGGGGTCCTCCATCCCCCTCTGTCTTCCCCGAACCAGAGGAGGTCTGTGCCTCCTGTCAGCCCATTAGTCTGGAGCGTGCTGCCTCACGTGGCTGCCATTAGCGAGTGTTGGCCGGTGTTAAGGATCCGAGCCTGGGGGAGGAGGCGCAGCGGGATGGGGATGTCAAGGGAGAGGAGGATGGAAGGAGTCGGAGGGCGGGGAAGCCGTCCACAGACTCTGGGACTGGGAGCTCCAGCGTCCTCCCCTTCACGTGGTCCCCACCACACGGGGTCGTTGTGAGCACACCAGGAGCTGCCGTGAGAGCCTGGCGCAATCAGATCTTGAGGGGTCACTGCTGGGGGCCCCTGAGCCCCCCTTTTGCTGCCCTGCTCAGCCTGCCCAGAGGTCCCAGAATACAGCACCCTTGTGCATCCTCCACCGTGAGACGATCTTCTCTCACAAGATCTGCGCTCTGGGTTGGGCTCTCAAAGCCATGCTCAGGCTGCAGAGTCTGCGATCCCGGGGTAAAGTCCCAGCCTACTCTGTTCTCTCCTCAGAGATCCGAGAGGCCTTCAAGGTGTTCGACCGTGACGGCAATGGCTTCATCTCCAAGCAGGAGCTGGGCACAGCCATGCGCTCACTGGGCTACATGCCCAACGAGGTAGAACTGGAGGTCATCATCCAGCGGCTGGACATGGACGGTGAGAGCCCTCTGCCTTGGTTTCCCCACCTGGCACCTGGGCCCCCCAGGAGTGGGGCAGGGGCTGGGCCCTGAGCCACCGAGGTTGCATCCAAATTGGGCCTCTCCTTCCGCTGACCCCACCCTCAAAGCCCAAGGCAGGTTGCAGCCTGGTCTGGCCCCATTTCTCAGCCTGGAGAATTGAGGCCAGAGGTTGTGGCAGTCCCAGCTGCGTGCAGGGCTCAGAGATGGCTCTTCTCACTCTGTGTTGATAAGATGTGTGTGTGTGTGTGTTTTTTTTTTTTTTTTTTTGGAGACGAAGACTCGCTCTTGTCTTCCAGGCTGGAGTGCAAGGCATGATTTCGACTCACTGCAACCTCTGCCTCCTGGGTTCAAGCCATTCCCCTCCCTCAGCCTCCTGCGGAGCTGGGATTACAGGCGCCTGCCACCATGCTGGCTAACTTTTGCTTTTTTTTTTTTTTTTTGAGACAGTCTAGCTCTGTCACCCAGGCTGGAGTGCAGTGGCGCAATTGGCTCACTGCAACCTCCACCTCCTGGGTTCAAGCGATTCTCCTGCCTCAGCCTTCTGAGTAGCTGGGATTACAGGCACTCACCACCATGCCCGGCTAATTTTTGTATTTTTTGTAGAGACGGGGGTTTCACCATGTTGGTCAGGCTGGTCTCGAACTCCTGACCTCATGATCCGCCTGCCTCGCCCTCCCAAGTGCGGGATTACAGGTGTGAGCCACTGTGCTCAGCTAAGAAGTTTTAAAGTACAGAAAAGTAAAAGGATGCAATAAATACTCCAGTTCCCACCACCTGAGAGAAAATCACTACTTTGCTTGTGTTTGCCACCTGGTGTTTATTAAGGGAACGTTCACAGGAAGAAATGGTAATGCCGAGCCCCTGTGCCCTTCGTTTCCTATTCTCCATCCAGACACCAGGTAACAACCTGGGCAGGTTGCCCGCTCTGAGCTCCAGTTCCTGTCTGTATGGTGGAGAGTGTAGGGCTCTACACCCACCCCAGGATGGCCACGGGGTGCTTGGAGCAATGGAGGGTCTGGGAGAAATAGGAGGGTCACGGCCCACCTGCTGTCTACCTCCACCTCCCCTCGTAAGCCCTTATTGTACTGGGTGGCTTCAGCATCAGCCCAGAGCCTGGCACATGGTAGATGCCCCTGACACTGACTCAAGGCTCAGAGAAGGGGGGCACCTGCCTGAGGTCATCCAATAGGCCCAAGGTGTATCAGGACTCCATCCCAGGTCCTCTGGGCCCTGGGCTGTGGGCCTGGGCCTGACCCACTGACGGGCCCTGTGCCTCCTGCAGGTGACGGTCAAGTGGACTTTGAAGAGTTTGTGACCCTCCTGGGACCCAAACTCTCCACTTCAGGGATCCCAGAGAAGTTCCATGGCACTGACTTTGACACTGTCTTCTGGAAGGTATGTCCTTGCTAGTTGGGACCCAGGGCTGTGCACACTGTGGAGTGCTGTTCTGGGGCCAGTGAATGGCTGGGCCCAGTGAATGGCTGGGCCCACACTGTAAAGGGGGGATGACCACTCCAGGCTTGTGTCCACTGGACATTTCACCTCCTAGAGGGCCATGGGCTCCCTAGGGAGGCTGGTGTTGGTCAAGGACTCTCTGGGGGAATGGAGCAAGTGTTTTCCACCCCCCACCCCCAAATCTGGAGGCTGGTCATTGGGCCCCTGTGGCCGCAGGGTGCTGGGTGGGGACTGTGGTGGCTGTCAAAGCATTGTGCTTTCCCCCTCTACAAGTGCGACATGCAGAAGCTGACAGTGGACGAGCTGAAGCGGCTGCTCTACGACACCTTCTGCGAGCACCTGTCCATGAAGGACATCGAGAACATCATCATGACGGAGGAGGAGAGCCACCTGGGCCCAGCTGAGGAGTGCCCTGTGGACGTGGAGAGTGAGTGGCCTTGGAACCCCATGGGTGGGCTCAACAGCTTGACCAGGGGGATGCACGGGGGGTCTTCAGGCAGAGGGGGGCTGGGGGCCTCCTTGCCGGTTCTGAGCCTCTGTCCCAGCGGGGCACGCCTGGGATGAGCCCATGTGCCGAAGGACAGGTGGCTCCTGACTCCATCGCCTCGATGTCCCCTTCTGTTTCCCTGGTGCCCCCTGGGTGGCCACAGCCTGCTCCAACCAGCAGATCCGCCAAACGTGCGTGCGCAAGAGTCTCATCTGCGCCTTTGCCATCGCCTTCATCATCAGCGTCATGCTCATTGCGGCCAACCAGGTGCTGCGCAGTGGCATGAAGTAGGCGCCGCCTGGACGCCCCATCCACCGCATGCGGTGCCCGCGGCCCACCCCACACCACCGCCGCCGCCTGCAGCCCCTCCCTTGGCCAGCTCCCTGGGCTGCCACCTGTGTGTACTTCAGGGCCTGGGTATCTGGCGAGCCCTCCCCACCCACCCCGGGAGCCTCACCTGGAACCATGGCCTGGCTGTGGAGGGCCTGGTGGTGGCTCTGTGGATGGCCCTGGCCCCACCCTGTTCCTACCCTGGCCTGTATGGAGTACTCACTCTTCCTACCATCCAGGGGCTCCTGGAAAATTGAGGAGGAATTTGCACAGGAACCCCCAGGACCCAGTTGCTGCTGTGATCCCTTGGGTAGGAGGGGGCACTCTGTGCCTGGAGACAGCAGCCTATCTGGGGCCACACAGCCAACCCAGCCCTGGTCCCCGAGGCCTGCCTGGGCACTAGGAAGTGTGGGGGCAGAAAGCCTCCTGGGGGACGGTGGGAAGCCAGGGTGTCCTGGGCCCTGCTGCCTGGCATGGCCTGAGGAGGTCCCTGGTCTTCTCCTGGGTCCCTCCCTTTGACCCATGTTAGACCCCAGCCCAGCCCCTCTTCATGCACCTGCTGGGCCAGCCCATTTCACAGGTGAGGAACCTGAGGCTCAGAAGCCCAAAACTTGGCCTCAGTTCCTCTTTCCACAGGGATTTTCAGGAAAGGCAGAAGCTCGTGGAAGACGGGTATCTGAGGTGGCCCTGCAGCCCCCCACTTTCTGGCCCTCCCACCAGAGGCCCAGCAACCAAGGCCACTCGTCCACCACCCTAGCCTAGAGCCTAGAACTGTAGTCTAGCTGAGGAAGGAGGCAGAGCAGGGGCCTGAAGGCTCTGAGCAGCCTCCGCCAGGGGGCTTGTCCAGGGCTGAACCTTGGGAGGGCTCTGTGCTACCTCCTGGGCCAAGAAACTGGCACAGCCCCACACCGTCAGTGCCAAGAGGCTGCGCCAGGCCACTCTCCCAGCCCAGGGCCTGACCTCCTGCGTCCTCCCGGCTTCTCTACGCCCTCAAGGCGGGAGACCCTGCTCCCATGCCCCAGGTGTGTCATCCCAAACACTTGGGCACCAGCTCAGCATGGGCAGACACGGGGGCTGTGGATTCTTCCAGGGCTGGGATGGCAGGCAGAGTCCCTTGGCTCCTCAGGCCTAGAGCCACTTCTTACCAGGCAACGGGCACAGCCACCCTGGCACACCCTCTCCCTGGCTGTGCTGAGCCTCTGCTGGTCCCAAGGGAGAAGGGAGTGAGTGTGGGTCACCTGAGGAGAATCTCGTCTCATCCCCACCCTGCCTGACCTCTGCTAGGGGCTGGAGAACAGAGCTCAGAGCACCTGGCGTTGGGAAGCACAGCCAGACCATCATGGTGACAGATTTTCTTTATAAACATCTAGAAGTTTTCTCCCTCAGCTTCTTAAGAAGGAAGGAGGGGGGTCGGGTGGAAGTGAGTGAGTCAGGGGCTCCCTGGCATAGACCCAGGACCAGGGCTGGATTTGGCATGGGCACGTCCTGAGCCTGTGAGGCCAGGCTGATGGTCTCAGAGCCTCCATGGGGCATAGCAGGAACAGGGCTTGGCTTCCTATTGTGACTGATGAGAAGTAAGCACATGGGGGTCAGTCGGGGGCGAGAGGCTCAGCCCCACTGGACTCTGGGCTGCAGGGGCCACCCCCCCGGTGGGGGTGCCCGCAGGGATGGGGGCAGCTCTTGGACTGGTGGCCAGCCCACAGGGTACTGAAAGACAGTAGTTCTGATGGGTTCAGCCCTAGAGAGAGAGAGAAGGGTAGAGAATTAGAGTCGGGTACTGCCTAGACTTATGCCACCTGCCACCCCAGCCCACCTGCCTCACCACCCTGGCTGTGGGGAGGGTCAGCTGCGTGCATGACTTTTCTGGAAGACAGAGCCTCGAAAACATGCAGACCCTTTGAACCAGCGACCTCACTTCTGCTGAGACCAAGGAAATAGTGGGGTTGTGGGCAGACACAGCTACGGGGACAGCCGCGAGACAATGGAAATAAGCTTCATGTCCACCTGTAGGGGACTGATTAAATACATATGCACGTCCACAGCAGAGAATGCTATGCAGCCTGTATAAGAATGAAGGCAGACTTATATGCACTGATGAGAGACATACTGTGTGAGTAGGGAGAGAAAGCAGCTTATAAAATAATGTATATAGCATGATACTATTTTTGTTTAAAAATATATAAAATATATAAATGCATAAAAAAATCCTGGAAGACACAGCAAAATGTTAACAGTGGTTCTATCTGAGTGGTGCCATGATGGGTGACTTTTTTACCTCTTTATACTTCTCAAAAGTTTTACAAGCACACAAGCCTTTGAAATCAGAAAAAAAAAAAGTGTCTAAAATTTTTTTTAAAAGCCTCATTTCTCATGCTACTCACTCTCCTCCTCCTCAATGTCCACCCTGAGCCACCTCCCCTGGAACTCAATGTCCATTTAAGTACTTGCCCTAGGAGAGGCATCCTCCGTGCCCAGCCCGGGGCACCCTGCCAAGGCCCAGCAGTGGCCCCTCCATTCTACCCGGATCCTTCTGGACTTGGGGCCCACCCAGGCTGCTTCTCTAGGGCCACAGGGCCCCGCTCAGGCTTCAAAGCACTTTGAACTCCCATCACCCCAGCTGCCTATACATGACCTTTCTGGAAGGCAGAGCCTCAAAAACATGCAGACCCTTTGAGCCAGCAACCTCATCTCTGGGAACTGAGCCCAAGGAAAGAGAAGGGTTGTGGCAGACACTGAGTTACAGTAATAACTGTGAGACAGTGGAAATAACCTTCGTGCCCACCTGTGAGGGACTGATGGAGCATATGCACATGTCCTCAGCACAGGGTGCATGCAGCGCCATCGACATTCAGGCAGGAGCTCATGTCTCCTGCATACGACTGGAGTCCTCAGAGGACGTAGACCAGGGGGTAGGGGTAGGGTGTATCTGTACCCCAATGCCCAGGGCCAGGCCTGGTGCCAGGAGGCCACCCAGTAACTGTGGAATGACCAACAGCAATGCTGAAAGATCTTACTGACCAGGCACTATTCTGGGCCACACACCATGAGCCAGAGAAACCTTAAGAATCCTCAGGTGGTTCAACCAGAGGAAAAAAAAAAAAAAAAAAGAATCCTCAGGTGGGCTTGGCACGGTGGCTCACACCTATAATCCCAGCACTTTGGGAGGCCAAGACGGGCAGATCACCTGAGGTCGGGAGTTCGAGACCAGCCTGACCAACATGGTGAAACCCCATCTCTCCTAAAAATACAAAATTAGCCGGGCATGGTGGCGCATGCCTGTCAGTAATCCCAGCTACTCGGGAGACTGAAGCAGGAGAGTTGCTTGAACCTGGGAGGTGAGGTTGCAGTGAGCTGAGATTGCGCCATTGCACTCCAGCCTGGGTAACAAGAGCGAAACTCCATCTCCAAAACCAAAAAAAAATCCTCAGGTGAACCCCAATTTATAGGTGAGGAAACTGAAGTGCAAGGAGTCAGTCACGTGACCAAGTGACACCCTTGGGATGAGGCCCGAGGGCCTGGAATGCAAGCTGCACATTGGCTGCAGACACTGCCCTCCCACTTCAGCTCCCTCTGCTCCGGCACACCCCCATACCCCAACACCCAGCCTTCAGGCAAGGTGAGGCCCTGGCAGCTCCTGGCAGGCTCAGGGACCCAGTGGCCAGCCCTCTGCAGAGAGAGAAGGGCTTGCCTGCCGAGAGGGGTTTGGAGAGGCCTCTGACCTCCGAGGGGAAGGTGGGGAGCCGGGGTCAGGAGCCCTGGGAGTTTCCCCTGCTGCACCCACCCAGCCTGCCCCTCTCTGCCAGACCTGCCATGTAGAGTCACTGCCACTACCACAGCTGCACGGAGTCCTGGGTGCAGCCTCCAGGACCCCCAGGTGTGAGAGGACCGGGACATCCCCTGCTTTGTGGCTCACTGCCTGCTAGAAAGCGCAGAAGGCAGCTCTTGACATGATTTATGGCACTGGGGAGATTTCATAAACTCCGCCAGCCGCAGAGAAGGCGGGGAGGCTCCGCAGTTGCCGGAAGGGAGTGCCCCAGCTGCCAGCCAAGGCTGGGCTCCCTGCAGGGCCACAGGGACAGTGGGGATCTCCCCTGGGAGGGTATGATCCTGGGGAGCCCCTTCCCATGAGCCTCAGGCCCTTCCTCTAGAAAATGGGGCAGATTCCCAGGAAGCTGGGACCTCCTGGGTCCAAGCCTCAGCCCCATGTCCCTGCCTGCCCTGAGGCCCCTGCCAGTAGAAGGGCATACCCCATGCCTGATCACACACACTGGCACGTTGCCAGGGCACCAGACACGTGAGTTGAAGCCTTGGGGACACTGAGGTGCGTGTCTGGCACCACTCTGCTTATAGCTTCTCTGGTGACCTGTTTGTCCTATGCGTGAGGACGGGAGCCACTCTCTGACATTTCCCCAGCCACGGTCCTAATCAGAGGAAATAGAGGTGAGGAGGGAGGATGGGCCAGGATGGCAGCGCCAGCCCTGAGAGGGGTGCAAAGGAGAGATTAAAAGGGAGAGAGCCGCAATCTGAAGAGCCAACAATGGGCAGCAGGGCTGATTCGTCTGTGTGTCTGTGGCCGCCGCTGCTCTTGGCAGATCCTCAGGGTCAGTCTGCGGAGGGGGATAAGCCCAAGCTCCAGGCTGGGGCTTCATGGACCCTCCGCTTCCCATGCTTACAAGGAGGGCCCCTACGTTCACCGGGGAGGCTCTGCTCAGCCAGTGGGGGTTGGAGCCTGCAGGGTTGCCCCAGGTGTGGTGGGCAGCCTGCTGTGCCCTGTGCCCTGGAGGAGGGAACAGACATCCTAAAAGGAAGAGGGGATCCCCAAGGCTTCCAGACCAGTCCCCACAAAACGCTGGCAACACTAACACCTGGGGAGTGCCCGACAGCCTGAATGCTCATTCATGCAGTCAACCTGTCCTGGGCCCCCAGGTTGACTTGTCACAGCCCCAAGTCTACTCAGGCCATGCGGGAGAAGGGGGCTGGGAGGGATGATGTCTCAGCTAGAGCTCCCAGAACAAGTCTGACTCTGCCAGGCGGAGAGGTGGGAGGCAGTTTCAGGCAAGAAAACAGCATGCACCAGGTGCCCTGACATCACAAATGATGCCGCATCTAAGAAGCGGCCGAGCATCTAGTGGGACCAAGAGTCAGGCCAGAGGCAAGAGGTGAGAAGGCGACCCCACCAGCTGACCCCAACGGCTGCTGTGGAGGCAGCAGGGAGGGCGACCGACCCCTGGCCCTGCAAATGGGGCTTTGGAGCCAGGGGTGGAGGAGGCACCAAGGCCAGGGCTGCTGTGTAGAGGATCCCCTGAGGGAGCAGAGGGAAGGTGGGAGAGCAGGGAGGGGACATGGATGGCCCCACCTCCTGGTGAGGTTACAATTCCTCAGCTGCAGAATGGGGTCACCAGTCTCCCTGAATGCCCCCAAGCACTGGGCACAGTGTAAGCACCAAACAAACTCAATTCTCGTGTGGTCACCACTTCAATCTGTGACTCGGAGCCAGTCATTCAGCCTCAGTTTCCCCATCTGGTCCCCTAGTCCCCCAAGTTTCAAATTCATAGCATCTTGTGTCAGCGTGGGGATGCATCTGCCTGGAACCCAGCCAAGGACTCGGGGGCACCTCGTCTCTACCCCACCCACTGGCACTCACTCCAGTTCAGCTGCAGGCACTCCATGAAACCTTGTCACAGCCCCAAGAGACAGCTGGGCCTCTGTGACTCGCTCCCAGCGGAGTACACTATGGAATCAGGGCGGGGAGGTGAATGGCTGGTGTTAGCCCATTAGCAGGTGGCAGAGTGAGGATGGGACCCATAGGGAGCCCTGTTCAAGTAGCAGCGCAGGGGCCAAAACTTTCTGGGCAGCCTCCAGCAAGCCCAAGCCTCTTGCACACAGTCTAGGGAATAGGACATGGATCCCTGGACAGTAGCCAGTCCAAAGGGAGGTACCCACATGCCCAAAGACAGGATAGGACCCCTGCAGACGGACCCTTCAGACAGGACGAGGAGGAGAGGATGTCAAGGTAAAAGACAAAGTTAAGTTTAAAACACCTCTACTGGCTGGGTGTGGTGGCTCATGCCTGTAATCCCAGCATCTTGGGAGGCTGAGGCAGGTGGATCACTTGAGATCAGAAATTGGAGACCAGCCTGGCCAACACAGCGAAATCCTGTGTCTACTAAAAATACAAAAGCTAGCTGGGCATGGTGGTATGTGCCTGTAATCCCAGCTACTTGGAAGGCTGAGGCGTGAGAATTGCTTGAACCCAGGAAACAGAGGTCGCAGTGAGCCGCGATCATGCCACTCCACTCCAGCCTGGGTGACAGAGCAAGACCCTGTCTCAAAAAACAAAACAAAACAAACAAAACAAAAAAACCTCAAAACACCCTCACAGTCTCTTTTCACGGGACACAGAGAAGGCAAGAAGCTTGGCCTTCACCTCCTGGCAGAGCCCCGAGGGACGGCCTCACCCCGCAGACTGTCTGGCCAGGTCCCCTCAACCCCCGCCAGGCCACTGTCCTGCGAAGCCAAACCACAGAAGTAGTCAAGTCTGATGCTCCATTGCAAGATGGGGCAAGCAAGGCAGCCCGGGCTGGGGAAATGTGTTAGAGTTGCACGTTGCCCCTGGGCACAGCTTTACCCCCTTGCCCCACCCACCTCGCCTCCTTTAATCCCTAGAGGAAGAGCCCAGGAGCCCGAGCTTTGGTTTTGGCCGTGATGCCAAGCAGCCTTCGTCTCCCCCTGTCTGTCCTGTGCCCTGTTCTGCTAAAGTGAAGTATCACTTGAGTCCCTTCCCTCAAAGAGAAGGACCAGGGACAGCATGAAGCACATACCCCAAGAACCCGACCCAGAAGCACCCCTTCTAATTCTGAGCATCCCGAGGGCTGGGGCCACCCCCACACCCCCTTCCTTAAAAAGGCAGTGGGACCAGGACCTTGTCATCATACCCTATGCAATCCCGGCTTTACAGTTTTCTAGCTGTGTGCCCTTGAGCAAGTTACACCCCTCCCTCATGAGCCTGTTTTCCCTGCGGGTGACCACAGCCCAATGGACTTGGTGACATGCAGCCAAATCAGCTGGGCTGCCTGCCTCCCTCCAACCAGCACAGACTCTCACAGGGACCAGTCCTTGGGAGAGGCTTCTTCAAACACCCCTCAGCCTCTGTCCAGGGCCTAGGGCCCCAAGAACCCCCAGCATGGCCCCTCAGGGGCTCTGTGGGGGCATCTTCATTCAGCTGCTGGGCCGGGGCAGTTCATGGAGATTCCTGAGTGTCAGGAAGGGGCAGGTGGGCTGGGGTCTTGCCCCCGAGGGCACAGAGGGAGGGGACCCTGGGGACAGGTACCTGCTGCTCGGAGCTGAGCTCAGGCGCTTGGCTCTCTTCTCCAGCCAGTCCTCCAGATGGCCCTCGGGGAGCTCAGGAGCATCTAGCAGCCACTCCCTGGCTCGCCTCTCCTCTGTGGGGACAGGGAGACAAAGGTAAGTGAGGGGTACACTCCTGCCTGCCAGAACCCCACCCTCCCACAAAGCAGAAGGAACTGGTAGGCCCTGAGCAAGCCCTGGGAAGTTGCAGCAACCCTCCAGGATGACACACCTGGACCGCTTCTCCAGGCTGCCTGTGCACGAGGGCCCGGCACTCAGCCTCACTCTGTTTTCCCATCAAATGGAGACAACCCCAGCTGCTTCCCAAGCTCTTGGGGAGCTAGAAACAGGAAAGTGCATATAGAGATCCTGGCCCTGGCTGGGCGTGGTGGCTCATGCCTATAATCCCAGCACTTTGTGAGGCTGAGGGGATTGCCTGAGTCCAGGAGTTTGAGGCCAGCCTGGCCAACATGGCGAAATGCCGTCTCTACTAAAAATACAAAAAAAAAAAAAAAAAAAAAAAAAAAAAATTAGCCAGGCATGGTGATTGATGCCTGTAATCTCAGCTACTCGGGAGACTGAGGCAGGAAAATCACTTGAACCCAGGAAGTGGAGGCTGCAGTGAGCCAAGATCACACCATTGCACTCCAGCCTGGGTAACAAGAGTGAAAATCTGTCTTAAAAACAACAACAACAAAAAAAAAAAACAGAGAAAGCCTGGCCCTAAGGAGGGGTCTGAATCTGGGGTGCAGGGAGGCAGCAAGGGCAGTCGAATGCAGTCAAATCTCAGTTCTGTCACCTGCCAGGTCTCTGACCCTGGGCAAGATAATGAACCTCAGTCTCCCTGGTTTTTCTTCTCATAAGATGTCCAACAAAACCTGTTGCTCAAAGAAGTAAAACCAATCAATGAATGGAATTCATACAAGCTGGGTGTGAGCGTTTGATGGGGTCAGTAGCCAGGTCATCTGGGATGGGCCTGAGGAAATAATCACACATGCGATCAGTGCTCACTCAGGGCCGGGGCCTGGTCTCTGGAGCCCACTAGGGGCCAAGGCCTGGTCTCTCGAGCCCACTCGGGGCCGGGGCCTGGTCTCTGGAGCCCACTAGGGGCTGGGGCCCAGTCTCCGGAATCCACTTGGGACCAGGGCCTGGTCTCTGGAACCCACTTGGGACTGGGGCCTGATCTCTGGAGCCCACTCGGGGCCAGGCCCAGGGCTGCACAGGTGTCATCTTGCTTCATCCTTAGACGCATCACATTTGACAGGGCAGGACACAGCCTCCAAGACGTTAGGCCATGTACCAAGGTTACAGAGGATGTGGCAGAGCCAGGACTATCTGAGCTGCCAGCTCAGATAGTCTGTTCCCAGCCCCTCTGGGCCTCTCCCCATTCCTGTCCCCACTCAGCATCGTCTCCAGCTCCAGGCCTACTGCCCTGTGCTCATCCCACCACAGGCCAGCCGTCCCATGAGAGCCCATGGCCAGGGAAGAGCTGGAGCTGCCACTGCTGGCAGGACTTGCTGGCTGGTCCCACAAGGCCTTGCTTCTACCCTGGGAAGAAAAGCTCCTGGAAACCCTGTGTTGGTGCCAGGGCTGCAGCCACAGCACCACTGGCTCCCCAGGGCAGGGCATGGAGCCCGCAGTGTCTAACTGGTCAGAGGGGAGCGAGGCCCACCAGGGGATCAGGGCAAAGGCCAAGCTGCCCCAGACCCTCACTGGCTACCCCGAGGCCTCCTGGACAGAGAAGCATGGCGAGTGGCAGTCGGGGGCACTGAGAGACCTGGAGTCTGCCTCTAACCTGCTGGGGGGCTCACGTGAGGCCCTTCTGCCTGAATGCTGGCCTTAGTTTCCCCACCTGTTCAATGAGAGGTTGTGGAAGAAGACTGATAAAGACCATCTCAGTCAGAACTTCTTGCTCTCTAACTGGAGGAATGAATTTCGCAAAGGCAAGATGTCAATTTCTATGGAAGCTGAACTTGCCCCTCCCTGGATCACCAGGCTGTAAGACTCCAGAGGGCAGGGATGGTGCCCTTAACTCCTTGTCCCCATACTGTCATAAGGGGTCTGCCTGGTGCCAAGTGGGGACTAGCTATGCTGCCTGATTGAGGGAGGGATGGGGTGTATCCGCCAGTGACTGATGGGCTGGCCACAGGGTCCAGGTGGGGCTGAGGTGCACTTTCAGGACTCTGGGCCAGAAGCCATGCAGGCTCCACTATGAGGGGACACATCCTTGCCTTCTCCGCTCATGCTGAGGTGGTTTAGAGGCTGTTCCTGACACTTGGCCCAAATCAGGGGCTCAAGGATCCCAGTCACCCTGGGGGGCCTTGGCTGCTAATGGGAGGAGATGGGAAGGCACAGGCCAGCTTTCCCGGTCTCAGAGCCCACATGCCCGGGCACCCCACTCCCGCTTAGCCCAGGGTATCCCGAGACATACCCTCCACCTGGAAGCTCAGCTCCTGCAGGTCTCGCTCTGACATGTGGGAAAATCTGCAGTTGGAGCCAAAGTCGCACTGGCCTGCGGCAGGAAGACAGTTACTCGCTGCTCAGGAGGGGCTCCCAGTGTGGGCTGAGGGGCACCCTGATGAGGGGTCCCAGAGTCTTAGGGGCAGGACTTCAGGGCCTAAAGAGTAGCAACCCTGATCTGGGACAGAAAATGGAATTTCTCTGGCCCTGCCCACTCAGCAGCCAGAGTAACCTCTCACCCATCACACCATATGCTCATGACGCTTCTCCAGCTGCCTGCCGTGCTGGGGATCACTTCCAACTGAAGCCTGTCATGAATGGGCCTCGAGAGCCTCTGCAGAGGCTGTCTTTGTCACCAGCCCTCCCAGCCCCTGCCTCAATGAACTACGTGTGGGTTTCTGAAAGAGCCATGCTTCCTTTCTCTACTCTGAGCCACAGCACATGCTGTGCCCAGCCTAGTATTCTGCCTGCCTACCTGGCTCATGTGAGCAGCTGGACTGCTCCTTAGAAAGCCTTCAGTGGCAGCTTTGCCAAGGAGGCACCAAAATCTTGGGTGGCTTTCCCTAGCTCAACCAAGAAGACCAAACTGTGTGTTGAGATACTGGGAGGCTGGAGGTGTCTCGAGCCAGGGTAACCTACCAGCGACATATTCACATCAAGGCAAAGTCTGTAGGGAAGCCCCTGACCTGCAGGCTTGGTGCCCATCTTAGGGGAGCTTAGACTTTCACCCAGTTTCCCTAGTTCAGCTGCAGCACTTCTCCCCAGTGTTAAGCTCCCTTCACAAACCATGTGAATCATCACAGTTTTCTTCTTTGCCTTGGCTGCCAGGAAGCTCAGAGCCAAACCCTTAGAGAATACATAGGACCTCAAGGGCAAGCATGGAAGAGACTAATTATTCTCCTGGCTTTATCTTATTTTTCCTACCTTTATTTTTATCTGTCTTTGGTTCCTTCACCTACTAAGGTTTTTTTATCTCTTTCTCTCTCTTTCTTTAAAAGGGACAGAGTCCTCACTCTGTTACCCAGGCGGGAGTGCAGTAGTGCAATCATAGCTCACTGCAGCCTTGAACTCCTGGGCTCAAGTGATCTTCCTGCCTCAACCTTCCGAATAGCTGGGACTACCAGTGTGTGCTACCATGCCCAGCTAATAAAAAAAAATGGTTTTTTGCAGAGATGGGGTCTCACTATGTTACCCAGGCTGGTCTCAAAGTCCTGGCCTCAAGCATTCCTCCCACCTCAGCCTCCCAAAGTACTGAGATTACATGAGTGAGCCACCATGTTTGCCCCTTTATCTCTCTGACCTATACGTATCTATATTAGCTTAGTACTGAGCAGTCAGATCCACACCAAGCATCCTTGGTTCTCATCCTGAACCTCCTCAGATCACCAACCTTGTTCCTCTCTGAAGTCCTGCCTGTTTGGGAAGGAGGCGGGGCACCCAGGCTAACTTAATCAGCAAGTCTGTTCCACCCACGAGTGTCTCCGGGATTCACCTGTAATCCCCCAGGGCTTGCTTGTTCTAGGTGAGCTGATAACAAACAAATTCTAGATCTGAAGAGCTGAGGACCAATCTCTAGGAAGTCCTAAGACACAACTGGGAAGGCCCTGACTGGCCGGTCAGCTGAAGCTGCCACTGCAAAGTGGGCTTGGGATGGTGGCCTGGGTTGGGAAAGACACTCTGCAGAGGTCCAGGTGGGCCAGACTGGACACTGCAGGTCCATGCAGGGACCCGAGCTGTGCAGAGCACTTTACCTGTCAGTAGAAACTTCCGGCAGGGCCGCTTGTTCTGCTCATCCAGCAAGATGGCAGCTGCATCTGAGAGAGAAGAGAGCGGAGGGCATCAGATGGCTCAGGCTCCACAAGGGAAGCGGGAGGTGGAAGCCACAGGGGCACAGACTCTTTATCCCGACACAGCTGTGTGGAAAGAAGAGTTCCCCATCCACGGAGGAAGGACGCAGGGGATGACCACAGGTGTGAGTCCTGGCAGATAGATCCGAGCCTCAGGTGACCTCAATCCCTCCCACCCCACACAAGATCAGCCAAAGGCAAGGACCAGGTTTCAGGCCTGAGGGTCTCAACTTTGCATGAGGGAATCCCTTGGGGAGTCTGGGAACTTTGAATTTTTTGGTTTTCAGAGACAGGGAATCGCTCTGTCACCCAGGCTGGAGTGCAGTGGTGGTGCAATTATGGCTCACAGCAGCCACTACCTGCTGGGCTCAAGCGATCCTTCTCCTCCCAAGGAGGTGTCACTATAGCTGTGCACCACCATGCCTGGCTAATTTTTTTGATCTTTTTGTAGAGGTGGTATCTCGTTATGTTGCCCAGGCTGGTCTCGAACTCCTGGGCTCACACAATCCTTCCATTTTAGCCTCCAAAAGCGCTGAGAATACAGGTGTGAGCCACTGGGCCCAGCTTGGAGGTTTATTACGTTTTCTTTTCTTTTTTTTTGAGATGAAATCTCACATTGTCACCCGGGCTGGGGTGCAATGGCATGATCTTGGCTCGCTGCAACCTCCGCCTCCCAAGTTCAAAAGACTCTCCTGCCTCGCCCTCCCAAGTAGCTGGGATTACAGGTGCCCGCCACCACACCTGGCTAATTTTTTGCATTTTTAGCAGAGATGGGGTTTCACTACATTGGCCAGGCTGGTCTCAAACTCCTGACCCATGATCTGCCCACCTCAGCCTCCCAAAGTGCTGGGATTACAGGTGTGAACCACTGCATCTGGCCAGTATACTTTAAAAAAAATACTGGCACTATGGAATTTCTCGGTATTATCTTTGCAGCTTCCTGTGAATCTATAATTATTTCAAAATAAAATGCTAAACAAAATTTAAATAAATCCTAGTGCCCAGGAAGCCCACCAGCCAATCCCAGGGTCCAAACACTGCTCCACAGGCAATACTGCAATTCCTGGCTTCTGTCTTCCCTCCTTCCACCAGCTGTAGGGCGCTCAGGGTCAGACCAGCCACCGCCCTGGACAGGACTTCCTGTAGCATCAGCAATCACTCTGCTACTAACCTCAACCCTAGTTTCCTCTGATTTTGCCTCTTTCTATTCTTTTTTTGAGACAAGGTCTCACTCTATTACCCAGGCTGGAGTGCAGCGGCATGATCTCGGCTCCCTGTAGCCTCGACTTTCCTGTACTCAGGTGATCTTTCCCCCTCAGCCTCCCGAGTAGCTGGGACTGTGGCATCCACCACCACGCCTGGCTAATTTTTAAATATTTGTAGAGATGGGGTTTCGCCATGTTGCCCAGGCTGGTCTCAAACTCCTGGGCTCAAGTGACCCTTCACATTGGCCTCCCAAAGTGCTGGGATTACAGGTGTGAGCCATCATGCCCAGCCTATCTTTACTTTATTCATATAGTTTTGGTTTTAAATTTGCTTCTTGGTAGGCAAGCTATCAATCAGTCAAAATCTGTAAGAAAGTAAGATACCTGAGGACAGTGCCCTAATTAGAGGCCCTTATATCTACCCCAGGGGAGAGGAGAGGCCAGGCCTGCACTGTACATTTACCCACCATCTTTTCTAGAGGCCAAGGAAAGACCACAGGCTTCAGAGTCCACGAAACCTGAGATCAAATCCTAGCAACACATGACCACGTGAAAGCCACTTAATCTCCAAGTCTAAGTTTCCCCATATGCCAAATGGGAGGATAATTCCCACCTGGCAGGGCTGCTGTGAAAATGTAGTAAGATAGGGCCGGGCACGGTGACTCACACCTGTAATTCCAACAGTTTGGGAGGCTGATGTGGGCGGATCACAAGGTCAGGAGATCGAGACCATCCTGGCTAACATGGTGAAACCCTGTCTCCACTAAAAACACAAGAAATTAGCTGGGCGTGCTGGTACACACCTGTAGTCCCAGCTACTCAGGAGGCTAAGGCAGGAGAATTGCTTGAACCCAGGAGGCGGAGGTTGTGGTGAGCTGAGACTGTGCCACTGTACTCCAGCCTGGGTGACAGAGCAACACTTTTGTCTCCAAAAAAAAAAAAAAAAAAAGGCCGGGCATGGTGGCTCATGCCTATAACCCAAGTACTTTGGAGGCCAAGGCAGTCAGATCACCTGAGGTCAGGAGTTCAAAACCAGCCTGACCAATATGGTGAAACACCGTCTTTAGTTAAAAAAAAAAAAAAGGAAACGTAATAAGAAAATGAATGCAGAGGGCTTTGCAGAGGCAGCCCATGGTTCCCAACCCTGGTGGCACATTAGAATCACTAGGGAAATGACAAGGTCTGCCCCTGGTGCCAGCAGTGGCCTTAGCACCATGTATGTGGCCAAGACTTGGGTGTGTACACAGCAAATGGTGGCAGTTCTTCATTTTTTCCTCACAAACCCTCTGAACCTCACAAACATCCCCATTTTGCAGAGGAGAAAATGAAGGTTCAAACAGGGAAGTGATTTGCCAAGGGCAGCTGGTGGCTGGGAAGTGTGTGGTCTGGTGGGATAAGGAGTTGGTTGTCAGAAAACTCACGCCAGGGAGTACCCGAGGAGTGGGGAGGGGCTCATCCGCACTGGGTTTGTCAGACTCAGTGCACCCAGCTGGTGCTACAGACACTACTGCCTGCCCTTCCCTGAGGAGGTGGGCTGGTGGAGGGCATGTGGACTTTGCCCTGGACTCCCCTGAGGTTGGGACAGCCGAGGCTGGCAGCGGGGCTGAGCCTGAGTCCTAGGCTTGGCGTGGGAGAAGAGTTCCAGGCTGCCTGCGTCTGTCTGTTCAGTGGTTCCCCACCCCAGCGACACAGCAAAATCATGGACACCCAGCCCCAGCCCTCTCAGGTACTGCTTTAATTCAGTGGAAGGAAGGGCATCCGAATTGTTTAAAGCTCCTCAGTGACTCTGAAGTGCACTCAGGCCCCGCACGCGGAAGCCCATGCTCTTGCAATGGGTATCCAAGGCCCTGCATGATTTGACCCTGTTGGTCCTTCTTGTTTCATCTCCCAGAATTAATAGCTGCCCCAGTGCCCCACGTTTCTTTGCTCATTCACTTAGACATTTATCTGCCAAACATTCACTGAGCATGTCCTGTATGCCAGGCACCATGCCAGGCTGAGGATTTAAGTGGAGAACAAGTCGGAGGTGGTCCTTCCTTCTGGTCTAACAGTCACATTAATCCCCATGAATATCAGCAGGGTAAACATCCAGCTTGTAGCCAAACGATCTGACCCGTCCCAGGGGTTGGGAAGGATGTCCCTGAGGATTTACTGCCTGACTTGAGTTCTGAGGTCGGGGCGGGGGACCTGGCCTGGGACAAGGAGGACAGGAGGAAGGGCACGCCTGCAGAGGGGAGAGCCTATGTCCAGAATATGCAGTGGTCAGTGTGGCTGCAGCTGGGAAAGGCCAACAGGGAATTGGAGGCCTGGGCAAGACAGAGGCTTTGCCAAGAACACACCATTGTAATTGGGCACTAGCTCGCTAAGGAGAGGGCCCCTATTTTATCTACCTTTGAATCTTTAGAGCCTGCCTGGGAGCTGAGAACACACTGAATGAATGAGCCCATGAGATGAAGGCCAGAGGCAATCCTTTTGAGGACCCACAGGCACCGTGCCTACTTAGTAAACCCTTGGATGCCATGCAGTCATCATGAGGATACTGAGCCCCTGTCACGGCCCTGGGAGGTGGGGACTGTTGCTGTAGCAGTTTTAAACATGACAAAATGAGGGCCACAGGGTTAGTGACTGACACCTGGAGACTGGGGCCCTGCACTTGACCTGGCGGATGGATTAGCAGCTCCTCTGAGGGCTCAGGGATGTGCCCCAGGCCGCGAAGCTGGGAGCAGAGCTGAAGTCGAGCTCAGTCACAGGGCACATCCCCAAAGACCCTGCGGTTGCTCAGGGTGAGTAGAAGCCCTCAGGCAGCCTCCTGAGGAAGTGGAAAGAGGTCATGTACCAGCTCAGCCCCAGTAGCTGGGGACCCAAGGCAAGGGAACCCACTGCTCTGGATTTTATTTCATTTATTCTTTTGAGACAGGGTCCCGCTGTGCTGCTGAGGCTAGAGTGCAGTGGTGCAATCTCAGCTCATTGCAGCCTCCACCTCTTGGCCTCAAGCGATCTCCTACCTCAGCCTCCTGAGTAGTTGAGACCACAGGCATGGGCCACCACACCCAGCTAATTTTTTTATTTTTTGAGATGGAATCTTGCTCTGTTGCCCATACTGGAATACAGTGGGGTGATCTTGGCTCACTGCAACCTCCACCTCCTGGGTTCAAGCAATTATCCTGCCTTAGCCTTCCAAGTAGCTGGGATTACAGGCGCCTGCCACCATGCTCAGCTAAGTTTTCTATTTTTAGTAGAGACAGGGTTTCACCAGGTTGGCCAGGCTGGTCTTGAACTCCTGATCTCAGGTGATTCACCCACCTCAGCCTCCCAAAGTGCTGGGATTACAGGCATGAGCCACCATGTCTGGCCAATTTTTTTTTTTTTAGAGGCAGGATTTCACCATGTTCCCCAGGCTGGTCTTGAACTCCTGGACTCAAGCGATCTTCCCACCTCAGCCTCCCAAAGTGCTGGGATTACAGGTGTGAGTCACCACATCCTGCCTGCTCTGGATTTTAAAGTAATCACCTGTAAGTGGGGATGCCTGGCCTGCCCAGCCTCTTACAGAGCTGTTCTAAGGACTGAATGTGTCAGGGATGAGAGGATGCTGAGAATACAAGAGCCCGGGGGGACTCCTGTCACCTGCTGTTTCATCTTTTCTGTAAGTGACACAAGGAGCTCTGCCAATCAGCCCTGGACCCCAGGATCCAGCTGTTCACAGCTGAGAATCTGGGACTAGGAGCAAACATGAAGGTGATCTTGGCCCAGCTCCCTTCAGATCACAGCCCACAATGGATTTGCACAACAGGGAGCCTTAGCCTAACACCGGGGTTAGAGGCCCCCTAGGGACCTAGGAGACCCCACTGCCCATGAATTTTCCTGTGGCCTTCCAACCACAGCCACACCCGGCCTGCTGAGTGGCCTGGCCACCCCCTCACTGGACCTCTGAGCCTCAGTTCCCTCATAGGAAATGCGAGAGTCTGGGAAGGCTTTAGAAACACCATGCCTACCATCCTGGCTAACATAGTGAAAACCCGTCTCTACTAAAAATTAGCCAGGCGTGGTGGTGGGTGCCTGTAGTCCCAGCTACTTGGAAGGTTGGGACAGGAGAATTGCTTGAACCAGGGAAGCAGAGATTGCAGTGAGCCGAAATTGTGCCACTGCACTACAGCCTGGGCAACAGAGAAAGACTCCATCTAAAAAAGAAAAGAAAAGAAACACCATACTTAGTCTCTATCCCAGCCAAATCGCTTCTGGGGAGGGGACGGGGTCTGGGGATCAGTGGTTTTTACTTAAAGGTCTCCAGGTGATCCTAACCTGCAGCCAGGGCTGATAATCACTGCCTTAGAGAGTTACTGAGAAAAGCAAATGATGAACTAGGAAAAGCACCTGGCAAGTAGCAGGCACTCGATGCATGCTCATTCCCTGTTTGTGAATTCTCAGTTTCGGATCAGGGAACTCTCTCTCTCTCTCTCTTTTTTTTTTTTTTTTTTGAGACAGGGTCTCACTATGTTGCCCAGGCTGCTCTTGAACTCCTGGGCTCAAACAATTCTCCCACCTCAGTGTCCCAAAGTGCTGGGATTACAGGCGAAAGCCACCATACATAGCCCCAAACAGGGAACTCTCTCTCCATTTCTCCTTCCTTCTTGGCTGCTAGATTTGGTTCCTTCTTCAGAAGTCCTGTCCCAGAATCCTGCACACTGACCTACAGGGCATCAGCCCCACTCTGGCTCATTCCAGGAACTCCTGGTCCACCCTCACCCCACTGCCAAGGTTCAAACGATTCTCCTGCCTCAGCCTCCTGAGTAGTTGGGACTACAGGCGCCCACCAGCATGCCTGGCTAATTTTTGTATTTTTAGTAAAGTCCTGGTTTCACCATGTTGGTCAGTCTGGTCTCAAACTCCTCCGACCTCAGGTGATCCACCTGCTTCAGCCTCCCAAAGTGCTGAGATTATAGGCATGAGCCACCATGCCCAGCCAACATCAGCTTTTTCTAGGGCCTTCTTCTTCCCATCTACAGCATCCCCAGAGCCTGGCAGGTATCTGAAGCACAGAGCCCTCAGTCACGGTTGCTGGAGAAAGAGCTCACGTACCAGCCTGCTCCTCTGAGGGCCCAGTGGCCCAGGCCTCCCTCTCTTTTGATTCTCAAAGAGCCCAGACCCAGACTGTCACTGACTGATGGGGATCTTTGATGATAGGAAAGATCAGAGAGCAGGGCTCCAGGAGCGCAGCCCCCAGCCAGCGGCACCCACCTCGGAACATGTCATACCAGACCTTCTTGGCCTTGAGGTGCTGCAGCCCGTTCAGGTGCTTCTTGCGGTTGTGGAGGTTGTCCTGGAAGGAGCGGTCACAGTAGTCACAGAAGTATCGCTTCCCCATGGCCACTCAGAGCAGGTGCTTTGCTGCCTGGGAAGGCACGAAGAGCTCAGATCAGACCATTGGAGAAAACACACCCCTCACCAGCCAACTGAATCCTTCCTGAGGGCCAGGCCTGAGCCAAGCCTTGACTCACATGCGCCCCCGCCTATTAGGAATGTCAAGCTCATGAGAGGCCTCATTCCAGAGGAATCTGTTAACAATTCTGATTGATGCCCAGCCTGCAACTCAGACCCGTTAAAGCAGAACCTCAGTGGATGACGCCTGGGTACTATTTTTTGGTTTTTGGTTTTTTTTTTGAGAGGGTCTTGCTCTGTCACCCAGGCTGGAGTAGAGTGGTGCAAACACAGCTCACTGCAGCCTTGACCTCCTGGGTTCAAGCAATCTTCCTGTCTCTGCCTCTCAAAGTACTGGGATGATAGGCATAAGCCACTGCACCTGGCTGCTGTTTGGTATTTTTTTAAAAGTCTATCAGGTAATTCTAACATGTAAGTAGGCTGAAGAACTGTCATCTTACACTCTTTGGCCAGCCTCCCTTGTCTCCTACCACATAGGGTTCTCTTTTTTTGAGACAGGGTCTTGCTCTGTCACCCAGGGTGGAGTGCAATGGTGTGACCACAGCTTACTGTAGCTTTAATCTCCTGGGCTCAAGTGATCCTCCTGCCTCAGCCTCTTGAGTAGCTGGGACTACAGGTGCATGCCACAATACCTAACTTAAAAAATATATATATTTTTTGTAGAGATGGGGTCTCGCTATGTTATAGGGGCTGGTCTCCTGGGCTCAAGTGTCCTCCTGCCTTGGCCTCCCAAAATGCTGGGATTACAGGTATGAGCCACCGCACCCACCCTCTACCATACCTCTGACCTCTGACCTCCACATCTGCACCATACATGCCAGACACACGGCCACCTCCTGGCCTTTGCACCCGAGGTTCCCCAGGGCGGGGCGTGTGCCCTCCCGCAGACACCTGCCTCACTTCCCCTCTTGACCCCTTCCATCTTTGGTCCAATGCTGCTTTATTTAAGACTGTGGAACCTTCCACTTAGCTTCCTCCACTCCCTGCCTTATTTTCACTCATAGCATATATCACCCTTTGATATGGTTAGGTTTTGTATCCCCACCCAAATCTCATCTTGAATTGTAATCCCCATAATCCTCACGTGTCAAGGGAGAGACCAGGTGGAGGTAACTGACATGGGGGTGGTTTCCCTCATGCTGCTCTCGTGATAATGAAGAGTTCTCACAAGATCTGATGGTTTTATAAGGGGCTCTTCCTGCTTTGCTCGGCACTTTTCTCTCCTGCCGCCTTGTAAAGAAGGTGCCTGCCTCCCCTTCCCCTTCTGCCATGATTGTAAGTTTCCTGAGGCCTTCCCAGCCATGGGGAATTGTGAGTCACTTCCTTTGTAAATAACCCAGTCTCCGGTATTTCCTTATAGCAATGTGAGAGTGGACTAATTAATACACCCTTCATGCAATAAGTTACTTGTTATGTTTATTGTCTTTCTCCCTCAATAGGAATATAAAGCCATGAGGGCAGGTTTGTGTTTTGTTTATTGCTGGAGCCCCAGCACCTAAAATAGTACACAGTAGGCATTGAAGTACTTGTTAAAAGAATCAATTTCCATTTTCCCTTTGGGACAATGAGGTTCAGAGAGGGGGTGTGATTTGCCCAAGATCACACAGCTGATAAGCAGAAAGCAAACCCAGTCCCCTAACGTCAGGCTGCCAGGTGTCCTCTCTTCCACAGCCAGTTCAAGGTTTAGAGACACCAGAGGGCTCAGGCAATGAATGCTGATAGCTTCCCAAGGAGGTCACCAAATTATCAGGTGGCAGGTCCCATCCAGTCACGGAGGGAAATGAAAACATTTTGGGGTCTTAAGACCTCTCAGCTGTGGTGACCACAGCCACCACTCCTGATCCAGGAGATCTGTGGCCCAAGGTGGGTGGCAATTCAGACTCTCACAGCCAGCTCTTGGGTCTGTGAGTTCGGTACAAGACAGGAGGAGGAACGGGTACACTTGGGGCCACCATGGCGAATCTGCCAAGGCTGAGCCCAGACCTGTGGTCAGACCCCTCACTTCAAAGAACAGGTTTCTGAGGAAGAGAAATTATTTCCCCAGGGTCACAAGGTAGCTATCTGGGCTAGCAGCCAAAGCCCCAGACTCTCAGGACCTGATCACCACGGTGGACGGATGGGGGAATGCAGCTCAGGAGGAGGAGACTGGGGAGAGACACAGGGACAGTCCCAGCAGCCAAGCAGGTTGATGGAGAAAGCCACTCTTGCAGCAGACAGGGACAGCAGCCATTAAGTCAGGGTCCGTAATGGGATCAGGAACAGACAGTCATTCAAAATGAAAACATATAAAACCTCTCTTTTCCCATTACTGCAGAGAGACCGTGTCCCAGACACGCACACTTGATATATTAAATTTGGCAGCTCTAATACACCCCGTCTTGCCAATAAACTTACAGGAATTGGATTGAAATTGTAAGAGATGAACGTTTAACGGCCGAGTGCTAAACCAAGCCATTCACAAAGCTTGAAGCTCTGAGCAGCTGCTGGTGCTGGAGAGTGATGGGGAAGGAAGGGGAGGAGGAGGGTGCTTCTCTGGGAGACAAACAGAACAGTGGCTCTGCAGCCTACTTAGTTGGACAAAACCACACAGGTATTGAGAAGCTGCCTGCGACCTTGGGCAAGTCACTTCCCATCTCTAGGCCTCTACTTTTACTGTGGGAATATGAGGCAATGGCGGGTTGCTCAGGGAGTGGTACAGAGACGTTTCTAATGCAAATTGTGAAAACGATGCTGAGAATGTCTGGCATTAAGCAAGGGCTCAGTAACTGTTACCTCTTATTAGGGCTAGTGGTTTACTGACTACCTACTATGTGCTGGCACTAAGCTGAAAGCTCTAGATGCATCATCTCACTTAATCCCCAAGACAACCTGTGGGGAAGGGGCTGTTATGCCTTTTTAGATGGGGGCACTGAGGTTCCAGAAATGAAGTGACTTAGTCAAGGTCACATTGCTAGGAAGGAGCCCAGCTGGGCTTGGAATCCAGAGAGCAAGCCTCTAGAATCCCCACTCCTAATCATATAATGAAAGTCTCCTTAGTCCCAGCATTTTGAGAGGCTCAGGAGGGTGGATTTCTTGAGTCCAGGAGTTCAAGACCAGCCTGGGTGACAGAGTGAAACCTCATCTCCACAAAAAATGCAAAAATTAGCTGAGCATCAGTGGCGCATGCCTGTAGTTCCAGCTACTCAGGAAGCTGAGGCGTCAGGATGGCTTGAGCCCAGGAGGCAGAGGCTGCAGTAAGCTGAGATCGAGCCAATGTACTCCAGCCTGGACAATACAGTGAGACCCCCATCCGAAAAAAAAAAGTCTCCTCCTAACAAATCATACTAATGACAATTTTCCTTTATTAAACACTACACCCTAGGACCCTGCTAGCCCCTTCAAGCCCCAAGAACTATGGATTATCATCTCACTCATGAATGAGGAAACTAAAACTCAGAGGAGTGCCATGAAGGGCCCCAGGTCACACACGTAGGAAGGGCAGAGCAGGCCTCAGGATACCTGGGGCTCAGGTCTGCCAGGAAAACCTGTGTTCATACTGCAATGTTAGCTTCTCAAATGCCACCCAACAGAAAATCAAACCTCATGCCCCTCCGCCTGCCTGCCCAGCCACACTCTGACCCAAATGGTAAGCCCCTTTGGTGGGCTGTATCTATGTGTATATGTGAGAGGGTTTGCATTTTCCCCCATCTCTCTCAACACCGCCCCCCCACTCCATGGGGGGCAAACTAGCTAATGGTTCCATCTACTTGTCAGCCTCAGCTCAGGGCCATGGCTGCTCACCCATGCACTCCTCTGCCCACCCATTGTCTAGCACATGGGAAGTGCTTGGCCATCCTGGATGCATCAACAGGACACCACATTCTAGTTCCAGCTCTGCCATGTGGCTCAGTCTGTTACTCAGCCACTTGCTCTCTCTGGGCCTCAGTTTCCCCATGTGGGAAGTAGCAGGACCAGGTGATCTCTAAAGGGCTCTCTGGTTCTAATATCCGGTGATAAGATGAGAAGATGCCCACAGCAATGCTTTTTTTTTTTTTTTTTTAATTTAAATAATGGCCTCGCCATATTGCCCAGCTTGGTCGCAAACTCCTGAGCTCAAGTGATCCTCCTATCTCTGCCTCTCGCAGTGCTGGGATTATAGTCATGAGCAACCGCACCCGGCCAGCAATGCTTTCTATCTACCTGTCAGACACATGCACAGTGTCAGGCCAGGGACAGCGGCAGGCAGCACAGTTCCTCTGGGATGGGAAAGCATGCCCACTGGGAACCACCTGGGCCCCCTCCCTGATCCTCTTGCCCTGAGGGGGATACCCAGCCTGGGGATAGCACTGAGCACCCAGGACCGGCAATCACTGCACTTCTGCACCTGGGGAGGCTGCCAGGGACAAGGTTAAGAGTCAGATGTCAGGGCTTACAGCCAGTCTCCACTGCTTCCTAACTTTCTCACTCGGTGACCCTGAGCTATTATTTTATTTCTGGTCTTGTTTTCCTGCTATGAAAACTGGGATGATAACAGCATTCACCTTAGGCAGGCGTCCCCAAACTACGGCCCACGGGCCGGCCCCCTGAGGCCATTTATCCGGCCCCCCGCCACACTTCAGGAAGGGGCACCTCTTTCATTGGTGGTCAGTGAGAGGAGCACAGTATGTGGCGGCCCTCCAACGGTCTGAGGGACAGTGAACTGGCCCCCTGTGTAAAAAGTTTGGGGACGCCTGACCTTAGGGGTTGCTACTAGAATCAGATCCTCCACGTACACGCTTAGCACAAAGCTTGGTCCACAGAATGCCTTCGAGAAACCTTGACTGTCATCACCATTGTCCTCTAGAAAACAGGCTCAGACAAAGAACAGGATGTCAGTACCCAGTGACCTCTGGGGTCAGCTGGTCCATATTACAGATGAGAAATGTGAGGTCAGGAGAGGGGAAGTGAGTCACCCAAAGTACTCAGCATAAGAGG